ATGGCATCAGGAACACACCTAGGTTTTTTTAATGTCAAACATTTAGAAACTCCTAAAAAATTGAATTAAATTGACGTTTTTTGTACTTTTAACGTTTCAAATAATTATTATTAGTCTGGTCAAGATGGCTACCCGTGAATAATGATTATTATTCACCGCTAATATTCACTCCGTGAAAAATGACTACCATTTTGTTTTAGAAAACTCATTCATAAGGTATATATTATAAGGTAGTCGTGGACAAACACGTTTATAACATAAAGTGTGTTCACAACCCTCTGTGTCGTGCTTGTGAACAAGACGACCAGACAGTTTATCACATTTTGTGTGACTGTTCTGCCCTCAAGAACCTCAGATTAAGAGTGTTCGGGGAAGAATGGCCTAGTACGGATGGCGTCAGAGACAGACCTCTGAGCTGTATCCTAGCCTTTGGTAACTCCTTAGGCTGGTTGATATAACCGGAGTGAGTGTTGGGAGGATGCACAAGGGTCCGTTGGGGCCTAAGTGCTGTGTGCGCATACATACCGTTTATTGTACAGAAAACACCTTTTGTAAGCATTGTCTACTCATAATAAGCTAAGTTTTGTGCGAGAAAAAATTTTTTTAAAGTCATAATTGGTGAAAATTTTGAAGGGGTAGTGGTTGTTTTTCACCCCAACGGTTTTGAGACGCCCATTTGAACCGCCAATGTTTTCTGCACAAAAAGGTACTGTAGGTCATGAGCTCTAACTCTAACTTAACTTCATAATTGCATAATTAAAAAAAACTCAAAATCTTCGCCAAATATGACTTTAAAAAAATTTTTTCTCACACAAAATTTAGCTTATTATGAGTAGAAAATGCTTACAAAAGGTGTTTTCTGTACGATAAACGGTTCCGGTAATTTCAACACCCTGTATCTCAAAAATGGTGCATTTTAGAGGGTAAGTTGACAAAAATTTTTTTTCAAATTTTTGGACAAGCCATCACATCCTGAAGTCCTGCGCATATATTATGAATCAGCCTATATATATTAATTAAGAAAGTTACAACAAGGACATTTCTTTTATTTTAACTATAACTAGACCGCAAATGAAAGGTAAAACTTGCGAAATAAAACCTCATTTATAAATGACTCCGTTCCAAGTAGTAATTAAGTAACTAAAATTTCTTAATTCTTACCTAAAGGGTCTTGTTTCTTTTGGCCTTTATCGGGAATTGTAAAAACTCCAACAACGCAATGTCCATTTCTTATTAATCGTTCCATAACATCGACGGCAAAATCGCTTTGGCCGATTATCGCGACTCTTAAACCTTGATCGCTAACGTCGGCGTATTGCTAAATTAATCATCGTTTATTAATTAATTAATTAATTATTATTAACTATGTACTTACATTTGGTGGCATTTTTAAAAATTTTCTTTTTAACTTTCAAACAGTTTAAGAATTTCTAATTAGTTGTGTTTAAATGAAAGTCTCGAGAACGACTAAAACCTAGAACCGAGTCGACGTTCTCTTTATATACTAACGAGCGAGATTTCTTATCGAGAGACGCACGTTTTTTCGGAGCTAATCAATCGGCTCGCTTTTGCCGCAATCATCGTATAAAGACTGTAAATATAATCTTGTGTTGATGTGGAATGGAATGATTAACAATTTTTTTGCAATGTTATTTTTGGTAATTTTGCCGTTTAAATGTGTTGTTTGATTTTAAAATTAGAATAGAATCGTGAAATGGTGTGGCACGAATTTATACGGAATTTTGATAAAATTAATGTGTAGGTTTTTTTATATAGTTATTGAATTTCTAATCGTTAAGGTTTTCTAGGAATAAAATTGACAAACGTTTTAGTTGTTAAGAACAAAACGTTTAAGTTCAATTTCATTTCTTATGTTTAACAATTTTGTCCAAGTGGCTAATTAGCTGGAAACAATAAATTTAAATTTTATATTGAATTAGGGGAGATAAATCATTGCTTAATAGGTAGATTTATAGCCAAGGTCGCTTGCGGGCGAGGCTCTACAATGAGACTCCATAAAAATAAAGTGTTATAGAAATATCGCCTCATGCGCCTATGTATGACCTTGGCTTGAAGATATAACATCGCAACCTGGTTATATAATTAATCATGTTGTATTGAATCAGAGAGGATAAATCTTTGCTTAATGTGAGGATTTATAGCCAAGGTCGCTTGCGGGCGAGGCTGTACAATAAAGCCTCTTAAAAATAAAGTGTTAAAGAAATACTGCCTCGTTCGCAAGCGACTAAATATACGACATCGCAACTTTTTTATACAACCAATCATTTTATATTGAATCAGGAAAGATAAATCTCTGCTTAATATGAAGATCTATAGCCAAGGTCGCTTGCGGACGAGGCTCTACAATGAGGTCCCATAAAAATAACGTCTTAAAGATATACTGCCCCGGTCGCAAGCGACCTCGGCTTAAATATACGACATCGCAACTTTGTTATACAACCAATCAATTTATATTGAATCAGAAAAGATAAATCTTTGCTTAATATGAAGATTTATAACCAAGGTCGCTTGCGGGCGAGGCTCTACAATGGGGTCCCATAAAAATAAAGTGTTATAGAAATATTGCCTCGGTCGCAAACGACCTCGGCTTGCAGATACAACATCGCGACTTTGTTATACAACCAATATTGAACCAGAGAACATAAATCTTTGCTTAATATGAGGATTTATAGCCAAGGTCGCTTCCGGGCGAGGCTTTACAATGAGGTCGCGTAAAAATAAAGTGTTATAAAAATATTGCTTCGGTCGTAAGCGACCTCGGCTTGAAGATACGACATCGCAACCATGTCAAACAAACAACTAAATAATAATTAATTGGTACTAAAGCAGGAAAGATAAATTTTTGCTTTTTATGAAGGTTTATAGCCGAAGTCGCTTTGCCGACGAGGCTCTAAAATAAAGCTCGATGAAGAAAACTCATTATAGAAATATTGCCTCGGCCGCAAGCGACCTCGTCTCGAAGATACAACAACGCAACCTTGTTATATGACTAATCATTTTGTATTGAATCAGAGAGGATAAATCTTTGCTTAATATGAGGATTTATAGCCAAAGTCACTTGCGGGCGAGGCTCTATAATGAGATCCCATAAAAATAAAGTGTTAAAGATATATTGCCTCGGTCACAGATATCACCTCGGCTTGAATATACGACATCACGACTTTGTTATACAACCAATATTGAACCAGGGAACATAAATCTTTGCTTAATATGAAGATTTATAAGTGATCGGTGAACGGTCGTAAGTGATCTCAGCTTGAATATACGACATCGCAACTTTGTTATGCAACCTACCACTTTATATTGAACCAAGCAAAATAAATCTGCTTAATATCAAGATTTATAGCCAAGGTCGCTTGCGGGTGAGGCTCTACAATGAGACCCTATAAAAATAACTGAAAGCTAGATTTTCGGCCCTTGGGATTCTAAACTCTGAACGTCCCCACTTTATAGTTTTCATCACAATCTATACCTTTTCAAGCTCAAATTGGTACTAATCAGAATCAAAATGACATTAGTCAAAATCAAATTGGCAATGTCAATTTCAAATTGGCATTAGTCAAAATCAAATTGACAATCATCAAAATTAAAATGGCATTAGTCAATATCAAATTTAATTGGCAATAAACAATATCATATTGGCATTAATCAACAAATTTAGCACTAATCAAAAGCAAATTGGCATTAAACAAAATCAAAATGACATTAGTTAGGAGTAAAAGCAGATATGGCTAAATAACATCTTGGCTGGTGCTGACCGGGATCATCTGACTCAAACAGAATATCGAATGCAGAAATTAGAGAACACCGTTCATAATAATATGGACAAGATTACTGTTGCCAATTGCGCAATGTTTATTGCCCACATTCAACGATTTATCCCTTCTGCATTGAATATGCAAGATATGAATTTTTAAGAGTGTTATTTAAAACATAACGTTACCTACTTTCTTAAGTAATATAATTGTTATCTACTGTGTTTGTAAGTCAATAAAATGTTTTTGCCCATTTCATTTTATTTAATGCTGATATATAATATTATTTTCATGTCAATTTAAAATTGATAAGTACCAATATGATATGGACTAATGTCATTTTGATTTTGTTTAATGCCGATTTGCTTTTGATTAGTGTCTAAATTTGTTGATTAATGCCAATATGATATTGTTTATTGCCAATTTGATATTGACTAATGCCATTTTAATTTTGATTATTGTCAATTTGATTTTGACTAATGCCAATTTGAAATTGACATTGCCAGTTTGATTTTGACTAATGTCATTTTGATTCTGATTAGTGCCAATTTGTGCTTGAAAAGGTATAATAGTGCTTCATTGACATTTGCGGACATTTTTGACGTTTCTCATAATTTTTCATTAAACGTTAGTTGAAATCAAAACTGCGACAAAATGAACGAAGAATCGGACGAAGAATTATTCACAAATACTCCACCGGAGTTGCACGAACAAGCTAAGAATATTTCCAATGATTTGTTACCTAGAAAATCAAGAGAACGTTACACAAAGTGCTACGAATTAATACCTGGAGAAAAATTAAAAAAGCCAAAAACTTAACGGAAAATGTATTACTTGCTTATTTAGCGGAAAGGTCAAAGACGTTAAATGCAGCTACATTATGGTCTGAATACTCTATGTTAAAAAGCAGTTTCAAAGTCAAGGAAAATATTAATTTTGACACTTTTCATAAAGTTCGAGCATTTTTGAAGCAAAATTCTATAAATTACCAGCCCAAAAAGTGTAATACTTTAAATCAACAACAATGCATTCAGTTTTTGAAAGACGCAAATGATTCATGCATTATCTTATGATGAAGGTGGGTACATAGATTAAAATAAATTAATTTTGATTTCTATTGATTTCATTGTAGGTTTCTCTCATAATGGGAATATACGGAGCTTGTCGTCGAAACGAGTTGTTAAATATGAAATTTGATCAAATAGATAACAGAGAGATCTATTAATAATTACCGTTCCAGAAACAAAAAATAATATGACAAAAACGTTTACAATCAGAAATAAAATAATTGATGGATAATTGAAGGTTATATTGATGACTGTTTATTTAATAAAATAATATTGAAGATAAATCTTTGATTTATATAGATAATATCTCAACTCAATATATGGTAGAATCATTAAACAACAAATTGAAAACAAATACCAAAATAAAGAAGATTAATCGGCTTCAAAGCTGACAGGTCGTGCATCGACAGTATCTTCACCCAAAAAATCATCGAAAGAAGAGTGGTACACGATATGGAGACCCATCTTGTGTTTATAGACCTGGAAAAACTATATGACAGTGTCCCCCTTAAAAAGTTATGAATAACCAGGGAGTTAAGAAAGCTGTGCAAAATTTCTGTAAAAATAGAACGGGTATGGTAAATATCGGGAATGATCTGTCCGATCCGTTCTGTATTACTATATGACATGATTGACAATATGAGGACTATGAGTTCTTTATTAACCCAGACAAGATTAGATACCTGATTGTAGGTGGAATGGGAAAAAATTTGCTACAGGGAAATCACTATTAAAAACATGACGTCGTGTATATGTACACCTGCGAGTGCAAATTACAGACAAGGGGGATAGCAAAAAAGGAAATAATAGTAGAATGGATCAAGCTAAGGAAGGCCCAACAAAACATTGAGAGAGAATGTGGCAAAGGAGGTTGGCGTAACCGGAAAATATAGAAGCTATGGTGCGAGAAGTGGCTTTGAACTGTAATAGTTGAGGTCACATGCGGAATATCAACAAAGTTGACTTGTCCTGATATAAAAAAGCCCGGAACACATCATCAGTCAAATCCAGAAGCGCAGTAGTACAACTAAACTCTTTTCTAAAACCAGACTGTTTAAGTGATAATATACAATGCGCCTCTAAATACGATTGAAGCTGTTCAACCATAAGCTTCTCCAATAATTTTGATAACACGAGCAGCATTGTTATAGGCCTCAGATTCTTATATGTATTAACTGGAACTACTTTGGGAATGGGAGTAACATAGCCGTACTTCCAGGAATTTGGGAATATTGATTGAGTAAAACAAAAATTATCCAATATCATATTTAAGCTGATCCCATCAGACCCAACGCAAGTAGATCTCACATTTAGTAAGATGCTCTGAATGTGAGCAGCAGATACTTCATGAAATGTCATTGTCGGTGAGTCAGGACGCATTCTATTACCATTATAATACCCCAAAAGATCAACGTCAGGAGAAACTAAGGTATCTTTCGGAAGATTTCAAAACATTAAAGTTTTTAAGATTTTTCCACATATCTCTAGAATTAGGAACAACTAAGTTTTTTTCAAAGAAGTTTGTTTCTCTTATATTTGCTAAAAGCATTTTTCCTTAATTTAATCACTTATGTCACAATAGATGCATAAAAGTCAAATAAAGATAGCAATGTTTCGGTAAAACAGTTGAGCTTGTCGTTAATATCCTCAAAATCATAAACAGTTCATTAAATCGAGATCTCTGCTAAATTTATTCATATCGATAGCACGCAAATCACGGAAACTAATAAGTTTGGCCTTAGGTTTAGCACTTGTAATTGTAATGGAATTAATGATCTGAGACCATTAATATCCTCAGTATCACAAATGAGAAGAGGCAAAAAGTTAACATTAATATCGTCCAAGATTATAACTCCATCGACAGTGACACAGATTTCTGACAAAAACTCCTCCAATACTCCCAAAAACGACCTCAAATCAGAAGATGGCGACCTGTAGATAACCCCAATAGCAAAATTCAAGCTATTCACTGCAAACTTAACCCACAACTGCTCAACTCCGAGAACCAGTTCAATACCAATACGTTGACATTTATAGCAGCTCCGAATATAGACACCCATACCACCACCTCTGGAAGATCTGTCAGCTCTAAAGAAGTGAAAAATATCCAAATTAACAGTCGAGTCATCAACATCTACACCCAACCATGTTTCGGACACTGCAAAGTCATCATAGAGACATTTCCTCGGTAGCAAGCAACCTCGGCTTGAAGATATAACCTTGAAAACTTTTTAAAACAAGTTACAACTGCATGCTAAAGCAAGGAAAATATTTGTTTACTGATTATACAGTTGTGATAAATCGTTATAGGGATACTACCTCGGTCGCAGGAGATATCGACTTGAAGATACAACGTCGAAATCTCTTTTATAGTAGACGCCACGAGAGCTGGCAGTAAATCATCGTTTTCCGCTCTTACAAATGCCATACGTAGTTCACAAACCGCTAGAGAGTAATGTGTGTTAGAAAGAGATAGCATTAGTTTAATATGTCTGTTGTACAATTCAAATAGCCACGTCGAAAAAGTACGTCTGTTCTTCTAAGGGATGTAACTCTATAATTATAACCTAAAATCGAAACGTCTTGTGAGCGTTGTCATGAATCTGTTAGTGTTTTCACAAGCCGAAAATGTTTTCTTTGAAAGGAAAATCATTAAATAATATCTTTGACAATATTTGACATATAACCTCCATTACTAACATAACCTACATTTAAATGTATGTGGTGAAATAATCTAAGTCGTACGTCCATATCTTCATTCATACTATTTTTAAGCGATCTGTCACTGCCAGCTCTCGTGGTTTCTACTATATACAATTTGTTATTGTATACTAAGGTAAGGAAGATGAATTTTTACTGGTTGCCAGAGGTTATAGCCGAGGTTGCTTGCCAGCAAAACGCTACAATGAAGCCTTGTGAAGATAAAACGCATCAAAACATTACAATACAAATCCGAAGTATGTATCCGAAGTTGCTTGCAGACGAGACGCTACAACGAAGTTGACTTTCGTTAACTTCATGATTGAGAGTTCATCTTCTGTATCTCTTAGAAGTACATTAGATGTTTGACTTGCGTGAGGTAGTTGAGGTACCCACGATGATCTCGGGCACTTCTATATCCCTTCTTGATCTGATCTTTTTGTCTAGTAGGCTGCTTGTTGTTAATTGTGATACAATTGATCTTGGCTTCTTTGACCATCTGTTGAATTTTTGTGAGCTATCATTACAAAGGGGTGGGGGTTGTATCTAAGTTTGTAAGATTTCGTAATTTACGAGGTATTGTCATGGACGAGTTTAATAGGGTTTAGATATTATAGACCTTTCTTCTATTGATGACAAGGTTAATTATTTTAACGAAGCTATGATTTTCTTATTTGATGTCCAAGCACCCCTCGTTATTAGGACTCAAAAGAGGAACTATTTGCCGTGGATTACTGCCAATATAAAGAAGATGATGGCTCTTCGATAGTCAACTCTAAGGCGTACATTTTCAGCATTATAAACAGTTACCTAATTTTATTGCGGGTGCTATTCGTCGTGAAGAAAATAGCTTTTATTGAACCGAGCTGTATGATGGAAGGTTCTAGTTTGATGTGGAAGACTTTGAGAATATTTAATTTTGTTAGGTCTAATATCACTGATTGTCTAATGTCACATATCACCAGTCTGACCGTGATAGTGTCTTCTTTTTCTTTAAATCTGTTGCTGATGTTATTATTACACCTGAATCGGATTTATTGACTTTCTATCATACCAATTAATTAATAATCCTGACTGTACTTCTTTTACCTTCAAGGAAGTATCCAAGGAAGTATTGATCGGTATCTGCTTTTGTTTAAGTCTACTACTGTTGGCTCGGATGATATTTCTCTAGATATGATTAGGTTGTGTTGTCCTTGTATTTTGAAAGTTCTCTGTCATATTTTCAACTTGTGCCTGATAATGTTGGTTTATCCTAAGGCATGGAAATGTGGTCTGGTGACTCCTGTTCCTAAAACGAAACCAGTTAAAGAGTTTAAAGATTTGAGGCCTATTATCATCGTTCCGGTTTTGTCTAAAGTGTTAGAGAAAATTATGACGGAACAACTAAGTTCCGTTTTAGATACTTATAACATACTACCTGATAAACAATCTGATTTTAAGAGTTAATATAGCTGTGCCACAGCGCTTCTTGACTTAACTGATGATATATATAGCTCTTGATGCTGATAGATCTACTGTGCTTGTGTTACATGACTTTAGTAAGGCATTTGATATCTTCAATCACGACCTTTTATTGGCTATTCTTAAATTTGTTGGTGTGGCTGAGTGTACTGTTTCATTGTTTAAGAGTTATCTGTTTGATAGAACGCAGACGAAAGACGAAGTTGTGGTTCTAGGACTACACCAAAGACGACGAATAAGAAGAAAACTAAAACGTACGAAGATGATTTATGCAGGACGACGAAGTTTATGATGACATTCAGGGATGTCGAAGACACGATTCTACCCTTTGATGGCAAAGGTGATTGTGCGATAGACACCTGGATGGAAGAATTCGAAGAAAACGCTGTTTTATTGGAATGGACAGACGTGCAAAAATTTATTTATTGCAAGAAATTGCTAAGAGGAGTAGCAAAGCTATTTATCCAGAGTGAAAGAGGAATCACGACATGAAAAAAGCTGAAAATAAAATTAGAAGATGAGTTTGGCAAAAAACAGTGCTGATTGCACAAAATGCTGTCACAGAGACGAATGAAGAGTGATGAAACAGTGGGAGAGTACTTTTTGAAAATGCGAGAACTAGTAAGTCGAGGAAACATAGAGAAAGATGCATTGTATCAATACATAATAGATGGGATAGAAGACGAATCAACAAACAAAACTGTTTTGTACGGAGCGAAAAACAATAGTGAATTTAAAGAAAAACTGGAGATTTACGACAAGATAAGGAAGCAGAAGCAAACAAGAACAAGCAGGCCGAGACAACATGAACAAAAAGATGACGAGACCAGGCCAAGAGAGAAACCAAAATGTTGTTATAACTGTGGTGAAAAAGGTCATTTTGCAGCTGAATGTAAATTCAAGGAGAAGGGCCTCAAATGCTTCAACTGCAAACAATTTGGACATAAAGCAAACGACTGTTCAAAGAAATCATCTACACTCACAAATGTGAAACAACCATCAGTAAAGAAAGTTGCAACGATGGAAGAGAAAAGTGAATATTACAAAGACGTGAACGTCGATGGAAGGAAGACATTGGCATTCATCGACCTTGGAAGTGACGTTGTCACGATGAGAGAAGAGACAGCCATTGAGATGAACATACAGTATGTGCCACACCACATTAAACTGAGAGGTTTCGGACAAGGAATGTGCGAATCTGTAGGAAAGAGAACATTGCTGTTAGAGATAGATGGAGTCAAAATCGAAGCGGTTGTTCTGATTGTACCAAATGAAGCGCAACAGGAATCGATGATAGTGGGAGAGAGTGCATTGGATCAGCCAGGGATAAGAGTAACCAGAGAAAATAAGATGCTTACCGTCGAAAATATTTCCAGAATAGAAAAAACAAGATGTCAGAACGAATATGTGAACATAAATTCGGGCATAGGTTGTGACGAGATTCAAAGTGTTCGAGACTTGGTAAGTCATTTTGATTCAGTTTTCTCTACGAACTCCTGTGACATTGGCACCACTGACCTGGTAACTATGAACATTGATCTTACAAGTCAGGATGTAGTGCGGTGCAGACCATATAGACTACCGTACGCGGAACGCGAGCGTGTGAAATCTATGATAGACAATTTTTTGAAAGCCGGCATCATTCACGAATCAACATCGGAATATTCAAGCCCAGTGATTTTAGTTCCTAAAAAAGACGGTTCGCAAAGACTGTGTGTAGACTATAGACGCTTATATGCCATAACGCGAAAATCACATGTGACGATGCCCTCGATTGACGAACAGTTAGACATGTTGGCGGGTAACAAATATTTCACTTCATTAGATTTTATGATTGGGTATTATCAGATTCCGATAAATGAACAATCTAAACATTTAACCGCGTTTGTGACGACCGAGGGACAATTCGAATTTAATAAAATGCCGTTTGGTTTGGTAAACGCACCAAATGTATTTAATACTCTTATGCAGCGTGTCGTGCAACGCATTGGACCGAACATTGTTTTAACATATATGGACGATATGCTAATACCGAGGGATACAGTAGCGGAGGGTATCGCGAAACTACGAAAAGTGTTTGAGTATTGCGAGAGCTAGGCTTAACATTAAAACTCAGTAAATGTAAATTCCTGCATACGCGACTAGATTACCTGGGGTTTGAAATTGATAGTGAGGGTATACGGCCGGGTGAGCAAAAAACCCAAGCTGTAATGAATTTTGAGACACCGACGAATGTTCACGAAGTTAGACAATTCTTGGGATTATGCGGATTCTTTCGAAAGTTTGTACAAGGGTTCTCATTGATAGCCAGACCATTAACAGAATTGACCAAGAAAGATCGGGCCTTTGAGTGGAATGAACTGCAGGAGAAAGCATTCCAAACGCTGAAGGATAGATTGACCCAAAAACCGATACTAGCACTCTATGATTGTAGAGCAGAATTGGAAGTACACACAGATGCTTGTAAGCACGATCTTGCAGGCATGCTTCTGCAGAAAAATGATAAAGGAACATTTCAACCATTGGCTTATTATAGCCGAAAGACGACCGAATTGGAGGCCAAGTACCATAGTTATGAACTTGAAGCATTGGCAGTAGTGGAAACCATAGATAGATTCAGAATATACGTATTGGGACGACACTTTATAGTAGTTACTGATTGCAATTCTCTGAAAACAATCATGACAAAAAAAGATATGACGCCGAAGATGGGGCGATGGCTCTTGAAGTTACAAGAATACGACTTTTCTGTTATACATCGATCGGGAGAAAGGATGTCACATGTTGACGCCTTGAGTAGACACCCAAATGAGCCTGGAAAAGAACCAGAAGAAGCTGATCTGAAAATCAACACCTTAAGAATCGATGAAGCTGGCTAGTTGCTGACGATGCAGCTCCAGGAAAACTGTACAGAGACACTAGAAGACAAGCAAATTAATACCGACTATGAGATCGAGGAAAATAGAATTTGTCGAAAAACTGATGACGGACCGAAATGGGTTGTTCCTAAGGGAGTGATTTGTCGTGTTATAGAAGAGAGTCACGATAAAATGGGACATTATGGAGTCGAGAGAACGTTGAAGAACCTACAACGACAGTATTGGTTTGCAAAGATGAGGAAAAAGGTGAAGAATTACATATCCTCTTGCGTAAGATGCGCGTACCACAAAGCCGTGAAAGGAAGACCCGAAGGAGAACTTACACATAATAGAGAGAGTACCAATTCCATTTCATACGGTGAACATGGATCACTTAGGACCATTTGTCAATAGTGCAAGGAGGCATGATTATGTTCTGTTGTACCAGGACAACTTCACGAAGTACACGATATTGCGAGCGGTAAAATCGACAAAAACAAAACCTGTCGTGAATACTTTGAAAGATGTCTTTAGTTATTTTGGAACACCACATCGTTTAATAACCGATAGAGCGACATCGTTTACGTCGAAGGAATTTGAGAAATTCTGTGAAGAAAACCAAATTAAACATATTCGTAATGCTACAGCAACGCCAAGAGCAAATGGGCAGGTGGAAAGACAAAACCAAACCCTTTTAACTGCATTAACAACCATATATGAAGCCGAAGATGGAAGAGATTGGGACAGGCGAGTCCAAGAAATTCAATTTGCATTAAATGACGCTGAAAACAAGACAACAGGAAAGACGCCCCACCAATTGCTTTTTGGATATCATCAGAGACGAGATGTACGAACTAAAACAAGTCGGTGTGCATCATCGGAAGAAGAAGGAAGTGTCGTGTGGACCAAATAATGTATAGCGTTTAGTTTAATCAGTTACATATTCTTTTTTTGTGTTCTAAGTAAAACCAATATATCTGTTACAAGAAAGCTGACTTTAATTTAACGAATAACATATGTATAGAAATTACGAGGCATGACTTTTGGTCAACCCTGACAAGACTCACTGTATTAAAAAGGGTAGCTTATTTGTTAATAAGAATGATATTAATATTAAGATGCTTGGAAGATGCTTCCCTAAGAAGGCTCTACTGCAGAGATATGTTTTTATCGCAGGGTTTGAAACGACTCCTTTGTCATTCTCTTGTGTTGTCTCACTTTAATTGTTGTGATCTTGTATTTGGTTCATGTTTATCCCGAGAGAGTTTAAGGAGGATTTAGGTTGTGCAGAATCATGTATCGCAAGTTTTGTTATCTAGTGAATGCAGAATATACAGAGGGTTGTGGGTCACTATTTGTTTTTGATCTACAATCGTAAAATTACGTTCTGGACGGATGTTCATAACTTGAATCTCCGGCACAAATGTTGTTTAAACATTCCTTCGCATTGTTCTTCAAAATTCAAGTGCTCCTTTTCGTACCAAGTTGCTCGTTTTTGGAATTTGATTCCCGCGTTCTGCGCGGGGGTTTTAAATAAATAAATCTTGAACTGGAAACCTGTAAAGGTGGTCGATTGAGAATCTCCTAAAGTTATCTTACCACAACTCCTTTGCTTTTTCTCTAAAACTAATACACTGTTGTGAATTAAAATAATTTAAAAATCGTGACAGGAAACACATTATTACTTCAATTTAAACATTACCTAACAAATTTTAATAATGATAATAGATAAACAACGACCTCCCGTAACGATAATCAATTCACGCACGTATAAATAGAACGATAACAATCTCATCACGAATTTTTTTGCCTTCCAAATGAAATGTTTTGATTCGATTACAAATTTAAATTAAGAACATCTCGAAAACATTCAATCTCATCGTCAAGTCATCAGCTTGATAATAAATAAATTGTCCCAAATGAAATTTACAAATTAAAATTGAAATTTCATAATTACATGGATTTATTATGTTGTTGTTTCGAATCCAGTATTAAACTGGATTATTGAACTATTTACGTCTTTTAATATCTTTAATAACGGTGCACAGGTCAGCGGGGACGGTCCAAGAAAACCGCTTAAAACTGGATCGAAAAGTTACCATTCGTATTGTCGCTTATCATCTTCGATGATTTTTTTGTAGACGATAACCTTCTTTGAACTGCGAGTAACACGCGATCTTATTAACGTATTTTCCACCTATATTTAAACGTTAATCTTTTTGGAATGGAATTTTTTTAATAGGGCACGTTTCGTTTTATCATAAATTACAAAATTGTTGTTAATTTTTTTTAGCGTCTTAATCAAAGATTCTGTTTTTGAGTTATCGTGAACGGCACGTTCCTTCTGAATGTTTCAAACAAACCAGATTTATCAAGTTATTTTGTACCCAACGAAATTCTTGAACTTATTTACGCCAAAAGAATTTTTTTTTGCTATATAAGGTTGATTCTAAAAACATATAGAAATTAATAACATTATGAAATATTTTCTTAATAATAATAAATCATTAAAAATAAACTATGTGTAGGTCAGCTTTAAATCGATTTAAAGAAATATTTGAGATTTTAACAATTTTTTACAACCATCTATTAGCCACAGCGATCACCAAATACAGTAGGAATCTGTAATCATAATAAACCAATTATGTATAAGGAATATAATTTATCTCAGCTTTTCCACGATATTGTGTATCTCTCCAAAATTAACTTTAATAAATTAACTTAAAAAACGAATCTCGCCGAATTGGGCCAACACATCCTCGTTAAACTTCCTATATAATAAACGCACAAATTCATCCATCTCATAATCTGTAACATTTGTAATAAACACTACAAATTACTTAAAATTGATTCCTTTTAAAAATATTACTTACAATTATTATAAATTGACGCTATAAAAAAAGTGAGGTTATGTCGACAAAACTTCACCGGTTAATTTAAAGGGGAAAAATCGTTTTGTAGGATCCAAAATCACTTTAAATTAATAATTTGGGTATTTATAAACGTATCTTGTTAAGATTTTTGGTAAAATTATACGTTCTTTTCTTGTAAAATCACAAAATTAGGAAGAACCACATCTGACGTTTTTGAAATGTCAAAATTTTATTTAGTATGGGAGGTCGCCGCTAGATGGGGTTAAAAATGCTTTAAAGAGAACGTTTAAATTTTTTTATTAATTTTCTTTAAATAAATAAAAATTATAACGATTCTTAATAGACTTACTACATCCTTGTTTTAATAAACCCTCCAAATTTTAATAAACAACCAAACGTTTTAAATTTATTTGGTGAAAAAAGATGATGTCAAAAACTTATTTGATTAATTTAGGAGTAAAAAATCTGTTCGTGGGTTATAAAATCACTTTAAATGAATCGATAGCGCGTTTGTAAACGTATCTTAATCAGTTTTTTGCTTCTATTATACTTTCTTTTCTTGTAAAATCACAAAATTATGATTAAACACATCTGACGTATTTGAAATGTCAAAACATAATTTAGTATGGGAGGTCGCCGCTAGATGGGGTTAAAAACGCTTTAAAGAGAACGTTTTTTAATTTTTTTTTTAATTTTTTTTAAATAAATAAAAATTGCAATGATTTTCAATCGACATACTACGACCTTGTTGTAATAAATCCTCTAAATTTTAATAAACAACCAAACGTTTTAAATTTATTTGGTAAAAAAGATGATATCAAAAACTTATTTGATCAATTTAGGTGTGAAAAATCTCTTCATGGGTTATAAAATCACTTTAAATGAATCGATTGCGCGTTTATAAACGTATCTTAATAAGTTTTTTGCTTCTATTACATTTTCTTTTCTTGTAAAATCACCAAATTAGGTAGAAACACATTTTTGACGTTTTTGAAATGTCAAAACATAATTTAGTATGGGAGGTCGCCGCTAGATGGGGCTAAAAACGCTTTTAAGGGAACGTTTCTTAAATTTCTTTATTAATTTCCTTTAAATAAATAAAAATTATAACGATTTTTAATAGACATATTACGTCCTTGTTTTAATAAATCCTCCAAATTTTAATAAACAATCAATCGTTTTAAATTGGCTTGGTAAAAAAGATTATGTCAAAAAGTTATTTGATTAATTTGGGTGTGAAAAATCTCTTCGTGGGTTATAAAATCACTTTAAACGAATCGATTGCACGTTTACAAACGTATCTTAACAAGTTTGTTGCTTCTATTACACTTTCTTTTCTTGTAAAATCACAGAATTAGGAAGAAAC